GGCAGGCGCCTGGATACAACTATTCGTACTCGATGGATGTCCGCGTTGCATACTCACAAAATTGCGGGCGCGCCAACTGTCCTCGCAGTCCGAGCGGCTGGTTGCACCGCGTTGTTGTTCCAAAACGAACCATTTTTGGAAGAAACAATATACATATGAGGGGCTTGGAGGACACATCGCATAAGTGCAGTTTTTGCTGTTTCGAGGAATATGTGTTTGAAATTTGGAAAATCCACGGATCCTTTGGGCGGAAAAAACGTTCAAACTGAGTTTTTAATCCTTAAAAATTGGAAGTTGGGACCGAATAGTTCACAGAATATACATTAAGACTAGCTTTACCTGAAATCATTAATATCTCAATTTTTTCAAAAACTGCTCTTATGCGCCTTGTCTTCCAAGCCCCTCAAGTGTGCCCGTCACCCTCGTATTTTCGAATTATGAGACATATTTTTGCTGCCAAAAATCGAGATGGAAAGTATGAAAAATGCTCTAATGGAGAATTTGCAGGTTTCTGAAATTTGATGAATTTCGTGTTTAAATGGAAACTACTGTTTAAACTGAACAAGAGGACACCTATGGTTTATAAATTGAACAATTATTCACGGAGGTACGAAAAAATGATCCAATCTGCTAAAATCCACGTGTTCAAAGGGGAAATGCGGCCAGGTGACGTAACAAGGCGGTACATTTGCTTACTTTTAAATCTACTTTTATACTTTTTCACGTATCAAAAAAAATATAAAAAATACTGCAAAATCAGCTCTATAAGCAGTCTCGGATGAAACAGTAAAAAAATTTGCATGCAGACTCTCCATTGGTTAACTACAGTTCGTTGTAATGAGCGTGAAAATTCACCAATTTCACATGTGATTGCTGATTGGAGATTCGAATCTCGTTTGGAATTTCTCAACGACATATCCTTTATTTCCATCTCAGGGCGCGCGGTACGGAGCTGCTCTCTACTAGCGCAAAGTTTCCACCAAGATATACGTGTCGTGCAGTGGCCAGAGAAGAGGACTTAGAATTAACGGAATGGAGAATTTACACGCAAATTTTTTATTGCCTCATCTGAGAGTGCTCAAAGAGCTGATTGTGCAGTATTTTTTGTAATTTTTTTTGTAATGGGAAATAGTCTAAAATTGATTTAAAACTGAGAAAATGCACCACCTAGTGACGTCATCTGACGGCCTTTTTGCCATTTAAACACATGTATTTCGGCAGGTTAGATCGTGTTGTCATATCTTCCCCAATAGTTGTTTAATTTGTGAACCAATGGTATCCTCGCGTTCACTTAACTCAGTACCTAGTTTCCACTTTAACGCGAAATTCATCAAATTTCAGACACCTGCAAATTCTCCATTGAGTAAAGTCCACTCTAGAAATGACTCAGCTTTTCTCAGCTGATTATTAAGCCTTTAAAAGTCATAATCTTAGATTAAATCATTTCAAAGTATTCATCCATTTGACACCTCCGCAAATCGGGGCGGGCGGCATGCGAGGGCGATCAGATCAATTTGGCTACACCGGTGCATGATACGGCGTTACCCGCGCCGATTTGTGGAGCCGGTGTCATTTGCCCGGCTCCTTAGACATCGGCGACCGCAACCCGCAACACAGCATGAGTAGGTATAAATAGACCCCTCGTCCTGCCCCTTTCCAATCACCGAAGCACGTGACGACCCAGCTCCTGCGATTCCCGACCTACACTTTAACCACTGACCCAAAATCCAAGCAGGCCAGACTATAGTTTACAGCCCCTGCGACCCTAACCAGTGGGATTAGAAATCTAGTGCGAATTTTTAACCGCCGTATTGAAAAATTTGTAAATAAAATGCTCCTACTTAGGGGAAGTTTCCTGTTGTTTTGCTTTCTTTAATATCTTTAAATTGAACGCATCCGTGCAAAAACAAAGAAAGAAAGAAAGAAAAAATAAGAAGACCATAGATATGGTCCTCCATGCAAATGTTAAATGAAATTGAACGAATAGATTTTGAGATATGGCTGTACACAGATTTAGGGGACGTCTGACGAACGGACACACTTTTTTCAAATTTGGTTTTTTTTTTTTTACTTAAGGCACATTCAGACGCCTAGGATGAAATTTCAACTTTTTTTTTTTTTTTTGGATGTCAATACTTCCTCTACCCGCAAGGGGAGCGAGAAAGTAAAAATGTAGATTCATTTGCAGGTATTGAAAAGAAATTTGTTTTACACTTTTATTCTGCAGAAAGGATTCGCATGTCCATCCCTAATCACCGAATCAGGGTGGTGCAAACAAAAGGTCCTAATGAAGATTGGATATTTTCATGAAAATACTATTCTCTTACATTTTTAGTTTGTTTTTTTTTTTTTTAATTTAACTCTAGACTTGTATTCATTTTTCTAAGATGTGCAACCACAAACGAGAACTATTAATAGAACGATATTTTCAAAAATATTGGCAACGTTTTGATAATTATTTGGACTAAATTTTACAATTCGGAACTACAATTTCTACCTCATCTGTATATAAAAACCAAATTGCAAGTTGCAAATTGTAGTCCATTCAGCGTCGACTAACTTTCGCTATATTTCATAAATTTCGGGCCATACCAGAAATACTTTACATGAATCATCACGATTCTAAATTACATGAAAGTTCGCCGCACCCTGTCCCCAGTATGAACAAAATTTCTGTAACTTTCATACAAAGACGCCATGCATCAACGCAATTCCCAACCACCGAAATTTACTGAATTTTTCTCGCTACAATTCCAAGTTCAAATCCGAGAGAATCGCTTCTTTTTCGAGGGAAAACGGGTTTAAAGTGTGAAAAAAAAACAAAAAACATAGCATACCTGTAGTGCTATGCAGAAACAATTTTCTCCAAGTATTTTCCCTCGAAAATAGTTCATAATATCCTGCTAAAAAAATTAACTTTCCGCAGGCATTGAAAAATGGTGGCATTCCTCACAAGCCACCACTTGAGCACTAGATACTATACTGTCGTGCTAAGGAAGAGCGCCGTATGAGCTTTCAGACGCCGCCAAACTTCCTTCAATAAAATATGAATTTTTTGAGGAATTTTTGAATATGTTTCTTGGAATTTTTGAGCTTTTTTTTCGTAATCAGATCTAAATTACCAAAACATTGCAAGAGAAAATATCCATAAAACCCCTCAAAAATAGACATTTCCTTAGAGGATATTTAGCAACTCTCGAATGTTCTTCCGGCGTTTTTTCCTTCGCCCGTTTATCATTTTGTAGGATGAACCGTGTCAAAGAAGCACAATAATCGCGCAGACTCCGCCAAGAGCGGTGAAAAACAAGTCTAGGAAATGCATCTGTCGCAGGCAAATAGTAAAATCAGGCATTTTGTCAAATGCCTCGGCAAACAGTCAAGTATTCTAACTGACATTGAAATTCTGATTATTTTCCTAATTTTAGACAAAATATGTAATTACTCCCGTAAGAAAAAATTCTCAGTAAACATTTGCATTACATAATAGTATTTTAAATGATTTTTAGCTCCTGAGCAGACACTCATATCTTGAAATTTGCAGCATGTCATAATAGACAGAATTTTTAGAATTTCAACATTTAAAAATATGAGAAGCAATTGAAGAGGAATAGACAAAAAGAGTTCGCAGGTTTGATGAGTTATTTTTCCTAAAATATTAAAAACTCGTGAGCTCTCCGCCATAAATTCACAAAAATTTTTAGACCGTCAAAATTTAACCATATGCCTAGGCATTTGAAAAAATGCCTGATTTTACTATTTGCCTGCGACACATCAAAGATGAACTCTCCCTGAACGTTCCTCTCTTAAAGCCGATCACTCATCTGACGGAAATAGTTAGTTAGATAGTTAATTTATTTAGAGACATTCAGCATCTTAGGCTATTAATGCCTTTGCAAAGAATATCGTGAATTTTACTCTAACTCTATCCGCATATAAACGAGAGATTGTCGCGCGTCCGTAGTCCAACAATCAGTGCGCCTTCAGTAAACATACCTGTTGACGCATACAACTATTCCTGCTCGAAAGCTGCCCTTCTTGCATACACAATGAAACGAAGGCGCGTTGACACTCCTCTGGCACTGAACAATGCCACACGACGCGAGCCATTCATATCACTGCCACCAGCGATTTTCCTCAGTGGTAGGGCGCGTGCCACTTGCCCCCTGTGTTGACACGCGTACTTGGAACTTTCCAACTACGATTTATGAAAACATTTGAATATTTTCAAAGCTTAAGTCCTAAGGTCACTGAACTGGTCGCTTGGGTATGCTAGTGTTGTTGATTTTTTTCCGATTTTCTGAATATATCGAATTTTTGCACAAAATTTTCAATTAAATAGAAAGGAAGTCATCGAAATCGCTCCAATTTAAGTGACAATGAAACGCTAAGCTCAGTGAGGCGAGAATTTCTGAAAACAGAACGGCACAATACTCATCCTGAACATCGATTTTTTATTCAGAGCGATTTTCTTGAAAATCATAATCGATTTTTGGACAAAATCGACACTTTCGATTTAATCGATTTTTGGGAGCAAACCAACAGCCCTGTATGCAACACAAATAGGTATCTTTGTCAAGTAGGAATGGTTGCGCCCAGTTCTAAGAGAGTGTGACTCTCTATAAAATTTAAAATTTCATCGTGCATTTTTGGAGGATAGAGCATAAATGGATTGCATTTTGCAAAAAGGAACCACTAGCATTGCAATGTTGCAAAGATTGTGCAACTTCTTTTGTCGTGGAGGAAAACCCCGATTATCCATTAATAGTTTCTATTTTACTCGCTAAAAACTGTAAATTTAAGACAAAAATTACCATCTAAATTTCATAGTTTTTCACGATTTCCGTAATTTTATTGCAAAAGATGAAGTTGCACAATCTTAGCATCATTGCAATGCTAGTGGTACCTTTTTGCAAAATGCAATCCAAATGTGTTTCATTGCTTTTGGTAATATACCTACTGCTAAGACATTAACGTCCATTTCTTTTCTTTTTTGATAATAGGCGTGGTGATTGGGACGTTACTGACTTTGAACCAGGAAGACATGGATTCTTACTCGCAAAGGATTGTAATCGGTACACTGCAAGGCCTCGCAGCTGGCACCATTCTGTATGTGACATTTTTCGAGATGCTCGACAAGCAGAGAACTCAGGAGACTGGTATAGTGCGAGCTACCTTCATTCTATGCGGTTTTATCATCATGCTGTTTTTTAGCGTCAGAGGTAAGCAATCGATCTGCTGGCCTACATCACAACAAACTTAAAAATCCACTTTTTTCTGCGCTCCAATCAATTGAATTTTACGGAATCTTCAATCGATTTATAGCTGTCCTCGAGGGAATGAATCTCAGTGCATAAGAACAAATTTTTCGGGGGAGCAATTTTTTTTTTCACATGGGTCAGAAAACCCGTACTCTTCAATATTCCAAATAATTAACTGCGAACAATTTCGTTGATCAAAGTTAAGCTTAAAAAAGTGTAGAGAATAGACGAATTTGAGGTCTAAAAATGACATATTAAAACTTCGTTGTAAGTACATTCTCATCAAAACTGTTTAAGTGTGTGTAACATTTTCGGGAATTTTTTGTAAAAAAATTCGTATTTTCGTAGATGCAATAACTTAATCTGAAATGTTTTGCACTAAGCTCCCTTTCCATGAGTGGCACAAAACTGAAAAATTCCAGATCATAATACCTACATGGTTAATAAATACCATACCTACATGGAAAGGACAAACAAATTGCTAGGGATTTTGAAAAAACCTTGGAATTCGAAAAATTAAAAGGAACCTTGAATACACTTTCCCTTAATTATAATAATTTGGCATTACGCTTTTTAAATCGGCTCATATCCCCAAGTAGCACGGTATGCAATAAGTTGCAATTAAATGGTGAAATTATTATTGCTGCTGCATTAGAGTGTTGTGTATGTTGCGTATCCACTAATTGAAGGGGCGCCTCTTACAATTAGTGAAATTTATTGCAATAAAATTGAATTAAATTGCAATTCTTTGTGCATTAATTGCGAATTGTCCATTTTTCTGATACTTGGAGCTCATCTTAATGATGGTTTGAAATTGGCATTAACTGATCGAATAATGTAAAGATTTTGGATTTTTATGGTAAAAAAATTACAATTTTATTACATACAGTGAATCGAAATTTTATTTCAATATTTCATTTCACTGCGGTTCTCAATTAGTCTTGTGTAATGTAACGTCCTCAAACAAAAGGTTCGTGGTAAAAGGGTATTAGAGCTTATCTCTTTTATTATTGCTCTTCGACCACATTTTCAAATGTCCTTTTTAGGAATTTTGAAGAAAAAAATCATGACCAGCATTCCACCACATAAATCCTTCCAATGTAGGAAGATGGCAAGAATAAACTAAAACTCAATTGAATCCATGCACTTAAACTTCGTTAATAAAGTTGTTACATCATCATTCCTAACTAGTTTTCACTTCTTTGACTATATTTATTTCTTATTGACAGCGAGATCGGAAAAATTTGTATTACTTCTGTTATGCTCAGATTCTTCCTTAGAGGTAGGAAAAATTTAGGCAAATTTTAAAGAAAGTTTCATGTCGAGGATATAATTTTTCACTCTTCCTTGAAATAAGAAAAATGTGAAAAATGGTGTTCTCAAAGATTAATATAAATGTCCTTTTTAACAATTTCAGGTGGTCACACCCACGCTCGACTGGATGAGAAGAATCTTTTCAGCCCTTGCAATTATTCAAATGATCAACAAGAGCCCCAAATCAAAAGATGACGATCCCTGATTGCGGCAGTTTATGTAAAGTGCACGGAGGCGTTTCAGGCATGGAAACCTGAGAAAATTAACGAGGGGCCTTTGCAAAACTTCATTTTCTTAACAAGAGCACAAATCAAAACAAAAAACACATGGCGAGGATTCTGCCGGTTCTCTCAAGGATAACTGTGATATTGACAAATAAGAAAAGTTTCTTAACTGATTCTTTTAAAATATCGTTTAATATGTTAGGTCTAAGAGGTCTCAAAAATATATGTTTGAACATGTAACACTTAAAATAGTTCAAATTAAATATAAAAAGACGCTGGAAAGAAACTGGATTCTTTCTTTCAAAAAAAAAAAAAAATTGAGGGGAAAAAAGGGGAAAATGCTTGACTATGAAAGGGTAGAAACTGAACAAAAAAGGACCTTAATAAGTACATAGAACTCCACCTGCCGTGCTAAGGAAAAACGTTGTATATACATCCAGATGTTGCCAAATTTCTCCCTATAAAACATTCATTTTTGAGGAAATTGATGAATATTCTTCAATAAAATTTTCAGATACTCTATATTACGTGACTGATGAAAATTTTACAAAAAAATGTACACTAGTTTCCTCGAAAATTCGTATTTTTTTTCCAGAAAATTTGGCAACGCCTGAAAACTCATGCAGCATTTTTCCTTGGCACAGCAGTCATACTCACTAGATTTTGCAAGAAAGAACCATGAGCACTACATTATTGCTGAGACTGTGCAACATCCTTCATCTTATGAGAGAATCTAAAAATGTTGTCAGTTTCTTGGTTTGCACCAAACCATATTTTATTTATTTGTAAATTATAGTAAATTACTGTTTTAATTTCTTTTTTGCTTTGCGTTTCATTACATTACTGTTAAAATAGATGCTGTCTCAGCAACTGGCAATACTTTTGATTCTTTTTTGCAAAAAAATAGGTAGTATATAACATTAAAAACTTTTAAACAACCCAATTAACAAGAATGCGTGTGAGAACAATTATCATAACCTAAGAAATTTTCATACTGACTGCAAAATAACAGTAATGAGCTCTTTATATATTATATACAAGGATACATAACATATTATATGAGTGAGGAATGATTGATATGGTGGAAAAGTTTTGCTGTACAAAATGGTATGCATCTCTTGTTGTAATTCTTCTTCTTCAGACTTATATGATAATAATTGCCTTTTAATGCGTGCAAGAGCTACTAAACACGGAATATTTTCATAAGATAAAAGACAAACAGTGGCGTGGCGTGAATTGCGATTTATCGATTGTCTTGCCATTTAAACCTATGGTAAAGAATCGATTATTAAGGTGTTCGCTGCAAACACCCTGTTTATTGATCCTTTCCATAGGTTCAAAAGGCATAACAATCGATATATCGCAATTCACGCCACGCCACTGAAGACAACGCACACAATACCAATGAATTCGGCGCCAACTGAATTTCCATATTTTTTTATAGGATGCTCTTCACAACCTCCTATGCACAATGAGCTTTTGGAATTGAACTTACCGTGTGCCAAACTCAATGAGAGCAGGGTTGCAAAGTTAATTTTTGGCCATTTTACTAGGGTTGCCACAGAATTTTGAGAATTGAATTCCCTGACACATTTGCTAAAATTTCCTGACAATGGATGATGTGCAAGATGGGTAAAAAGACATGATTTGAAATGTTTGAAATGTCAGACCCTTTCTAGAAAGCAAATAAAAGTGACTTCACAATTTTTCCCTGACATTTACCGGTTTTCCCTGCCTGTTGCAACCCTGGTTCACAAGGGTTTCTTTTCTTTTCAATGGAGAAGTGGGACTGTTGTGTTGTGTCGTCACTGCGTCACTTGCTCTTACGCTATAAATTTGATTCTTGACACCTGCGTTATCCTCCTGCCTTGCAAGGAAACAAAAAATATCCTCAGTCACCAATAAGATGTTGCAACATCTCAACTAAATTTGAATATAAACATGTCAAAAAATTCAATTTTCAGTCCCACTTTTCTTGAGATTGGCACACACAAAATTCAGTTTTTAAGGCTCATTGTACTTTGGAGATAATGAGGAACATCATATAAAAAAATACCAAAATTTAGTTCATAAGCCTGAAATTCTTGCAGAAAAGTCTACATTTCAAATAGAGGGCATCTCTAAAATTAGCTTGCATCAGTATTCCCAATTTGCATCACATATTCAATAAATGTTGCTAAACTAAGTCGATAAAGTATAAAAACTAAAGAGAAAATGTTTCACTGAAAAAACAGAGGAGAAATACAATGATAAGCAGACAAAGAGAAGTCAACCTTTAAAACAAGTATTTGATACTAAGTCACTGCGTAAAACAATGAAAATTAACTGCAAGTTCAAGAAATTCTAAGAAAAATGGCAACATGGTTAAAAGAACCAATATCGAAAACATAAATTGAAGAGCCTATCCATTTTTATGTTAGATTATTAATATGTACCTCAATAAAAAAAAATGGTATCTTAAAATAAAAAATAAGACTAAAGAGAACAGCAATAATTTGAAGGAATAAAATAAGATAAAGAACATTTATTCTTGGTGAGCTAAAATAATTACACCATACATCTAGGGAGACAAGTACATTTTTACTTGTGATGAATCAGAGATCAGTTCGATATTTCAAAAATTTACTGTTTAAATTTAAGGTCTGAAATTAAAAGGTACAAGGACTACAATAACTATTTTTGTCAGACATTTTAAAATTCTATAATTGTTTTGGTTTATTCTTCACCAATGTGTTCTTATTCAGTGTGTTTCGAAGGCTACATGTCCCTTTTTTCCGGGCAAAAAACCATGAAAAAGAAGTGAGTTTTGAAATTTAGATAGTGATACAGGATTAGTTCCCTATCATCGTTTACAGATCTTGTGGAAGTAAAAGGTTTAGTTAAAACAATCTTAAAAACTTGTCCCTCAAAACACCTGATTCAGAGAAAAACTTTAGAAAAGAGAACCTGCTAAAGGCAAACATTTTTTATAGCAGCAGATTTCCATGGGAGTTAACAGGCGATCCGTACTCAAAAAATTAAAAATTAAATAGAAAACTTAAACTCATTATAAACCAAAAATCTGTTTATAAAAGCAAGTTTTGTAAGTAATTTTTATTTTTTTTCATGGGTTTAATAACACGATACCTCAAAATAATGATAAAATTTGTCAAAACTTTAAAAAATTAGCCAATTTTGTGCTTTCAACTTAGTTAAAGAAATTTGATTTCCATTTTAGAGAAAAAACTTTCAAACTAAGACGGAAAACAGTGGCAAACACTAAATATTTCCTCATTTGAACTTATACAGCTTTAAAAGTAAGTTTAATAACACATGAAAACCTGATAATATGAATACACATACAATTGAAATTAGAGGCATGAGAGTAATTCATTGACACTGCTAGAATCAAACTACGAGGGTCACACAAAAATGAGACTTCCTTCGCTTTTCCCAGAAACTATTGATGTTAAAAACACATACTCGCAACATTTGTTTAATCAATTCCCTTTGTATTTGAGTTATCATTTTCTTCAATTGAGACAAGGAAGCGCCCAGGAAATGGATTTTCTGCCTTTCCAATCATTAATTTTCATCATCAGATCTGTTCGTGCGACACAACCACTAAATAAAATCAGTTTACTTCTAACATTAGCAGTTTCTGTCAAAAAACGGATGGACTACATGTGGTGAAACAATCATTCACTTACATAAATATATATGTAAAATAATGACTAGATAATAAGTTTTTTAAACTTCTTTAAACGAAGCTCAAGCAGCACCTATAAAATTTAGGCACCAGTGTTGTGTTCAGGAGTTTCCTGCATTGTCCTCCATATGCATTTCAGTGGACGATGAACTTGATTCACAACTGGCAAGCTCTGAGATCATATCTCTGTTTACTAGATCAGCTTTCGTATCACAGCTTGTGGCTTCGACAGGAGGGTCCTGATTTGACGCAGAGTCTTGCTCCATTGATTCAACTTTATCCATTGACGAGGAGTGTCGATTCTTTCCTCTTCTTATTCCCTGATTTAAAAGAGAGGGGGAAAAAAGATATTAAAGGGTTTAATATTGAATGATTCTTGAATAATTCCAGTGGTAAAGAATTGTACAACTCAAAACTAGAGTGATGAAAATTACAGTGAAAATTAACTCTATGAGCCTAGCCATCATACACTTGGAATCTTTGACTTGAAAATTTTCCAAAATACATTTATATATTTGTCATGGTGGCTACAACTGCAATTTTGCAATTTTCAGAAGGCAGATTCTTTGAACAGGTGTTTCATTCACTCATCCAAATTAACCATGTACTTAGTATGTTTTGACAAATTTTAACTAATTTCCGAGACTCATCTTCAAATTCTGCGATTGCCTGAATTCGGACCATTGTTCAGTGCAAATATTACTGGAAATGAGAAGAAACACTGAGAAATGGCCCGAACTGTGAGTAACAAGGTGGAAATTTAAGAAACACTGAGAAATGGCCCGAACTGTAAGTAACAAGGTGGAAATTTGATGCAAAGTCCACTTTTGGAACTTCTTGGCTTTGTTTTCCCCTCAAAATGGTGAGGACCCAACACCATTTCTCCACCTTGTTATATTACTGGAAACAGCGATATATTTGATTTACATGAGCTATCCACATCGAAAGTGATGGAATCCTTCGTTTCACATTTTTTATGGTGATTTCATGGTGTGCTTAGCACAATACATGTTTTCCAATTTTTCTGAACAGCTTAATTTAGAAAGAAAAAATAGAAACATTTCTTTCAGAATTACCAATCCCCATCGAATGGTTCAGAACAGATTGCAAGAACATTGCAAAATTGAAACAATAGTAAAATTACTTCATTTGTCTTGCCGAATCCTTTGATTAATTCATCTGAAAATGTCGATCCTGATTTTTGATTGGTTATCTACCAAAAACATAGCGTATCAGAGAGTTTCAGAAACTTAAATCATATCAAGGGTGTTCAAAGTCAACTCATAGTTTTGAAAAACTGTCTTCCGAACAAAAGTTCCCCACAAAATAAGAAAAAAGTCAGTCTATAATGAAAAATAAACTATACCTTCTGATTGGAATCCTTTCTTGTTCGATATTTGGTTTTTTGTGCCTGATTACTTAGACTGGACTGAATAAACTGGACAGCGCTCAGGTAATTTGGAGGAACATCGGCCTTGTAAGCCTCATGCACCGAAATTTTGAGCATCTCAGGAACCATGAAGGGTTTCAACCAACCAACAAGGGGGGTTGAGCCCGAAGTGTAGTGCGTTTCATTGTGATAAAACAGAATCCCATCCACTTTGGGATTAGTTTCTTCCACCAGAGGAAAATGCGCCATTCTTGAAGGCAACTCTGCAGCCGGAAATCTTGGAGCGAGGTAAATTGATTTGGGATTGTTCTTGCTCTTCTCCGAAAGTTGAATGATTTCATCAAATTTTGAAGACAGCCAGTAAAATCTAAAATCAGTCTGACAGAAAAAGACTTCCATTACTGTCTGCAGCAGATTTAAACATGACTATCTTAGAGCACAGCTGAGGACAAGTTCTATAGGATAAGACAAATTGACATTGTAAGTCAGCAATCACATAACTCGGTTTGCGACGTCCCAGACTTCCTGCAATACTTTATGTTTTTAATGGAAAACTACTCAACAGCAATTCTCTAAAACTATCGTGATTTTTCTTCTCTGTGCAAAGAAAATTCTGCACAAACTCCAAGGAATGATGTCACTTTGTTCTCCTTTGCAAAAATAACATAGAGGCGGAGATTTTTAGACACAGCAAACAAGTTATGCGATTGCCAACTTACACCATCGAAATATCTTTTGTGTGAGCTAAACGTGACTAGATAAACAAGATACACTGCTCCCTTGAGTAGGATCCTTCCAACTGTTATATTGAGGAAATGAAGAGAAGATGTTACACAGCACAGCCAACTACTAAATTTTGTTTGCTGAATTAGATAAGAACCCCGAGACTTGTAAAATTTGTTCTTCACAAAACTTAGCAATCAAAGAATCAGTTTGCCTGTCACACGAAAGTAATAAGACCTGCCTCATGCTGCAGAAATTGAGTGTACATGGACCTTGAACATCTTCATGTCGGACTCCTGATAATGTCGGTTACATGGATTGTTCTCACAAGTTTAGTGGACCTCTCAACAAGCTTAGAATTTAACCACTACGCAACTTGTGTTTTCTTCAATGTTTCGAGGTGGAAACAAATCATACAACGGAAAGTTTGGAGATCAACTCCTGCCCACAACATAAGTGTTAACAGTAGTAAAATGGCAAAAATACAAACAACGTCATTTGTATAATCTAACTTCTGTTTGATTCGTGTAGTGAATACTTCTTAATATCTTGTTCAGGCGTTGCTTTCTAAACTTCCGGTTGTGTAAATCTTGTTCAATGTAAGATTTTGAAGAGAATCCATGCAACTTTAAGGTGATTTGATGCATGCTATATTTTGTGTCAGAACGCCATGCGATATTTTCTCAAATTTTGAGATTGCAATTCTGATGTCAGGAGACTAAAAATTCACATGCCGATTTTAACAAAGAAATTCAACGTAATCGGCGTGGTTTTTTCAGAAGAAAACTATCGCATTCGAGTGCAGTTTCGATATCAGTATCGAATGCGATAAGTTTTCTCTTAAAAAACCACGCCTTTGATACGTTGAATTTGTTTGTTGAAATTGGTACGCAGATTCTTTAGTCTCCTAACAACTGAATTGCAATCTCAAAATTCGAGAAAAATGATGAGTAGCTGGAAAAATGGAACCAATCAATGCGATATATTGCATGTCGTTTGGACACAAAATATGGCGTCCATTGAATCACCTTAATTTTTAGTTCAGCATTGTTTATTCACCTATCATTCTGAAAAAGTTCAAAGTACAAAATTACCTGCTCCTCACAATGCAGAAGCCCATGATAATAAGGACGTCCGGTAGTGCAAGATCTTTTCTCAAGAATGATTAGGTATCATGAGAGGAGATGGATAAATTAAAAACAACGAGCTTTACACAAAAATGAGTTGACCTAGACGTCAAAATTTCAAAAATTCTTGATTCATTCACTTTATTGTTGGACAATAACTTTGGAGTACCATTTGCATTTATCATGATTGTGACATTAGCGTGAGAACTAACAGTTTTTCAGATTTTGACATCAAAGACAATCCATTCTATTGATTAAGTAATTTGTTTTTAATTGAATGTTCCAGTTTTTTCATCAACCTGGGCGATGGATATATCCCTGATATTTGCCGTCCTTTTATCGTATATCAAGTAATTAAGTTGTTATTTATATGCCTAAATATCTTTAACAATACTTATCTTATGTTATATACTTATCTTATGTAATATATGTAATATTTAAATACGATAATAAAGATAGAAGGGGAGTGTCCCTGATATAAAAAAAAAAAAAAAAAAAAAAAAAAAAAAAAGTTTTTTCATCAATTTTTTTTTTCTGTGTCTTAAATCAAGTTAGGTAAGTTAATTGTTTAAATAAAGCTCTTAATACATCTAATACTGCATTGCTGACTTCAGTCGTTGGCCAGTCAGTGATATTGGTTTCTGAAACTTGCACTTTCTCTTTCGATTACAAATGAGACAAAAAAGGAAAAAGAACCATCTAATTTTAAAAAAATATCTAAATCGTAAAAGGCACCTGAAAGTCCAAAATCAGCCCAATCTTCTAAAATTCAGATGGTTTAACCCATCCCTCTGTCTTGTCTTAATAGTTTTTTGAAATTGGGAGAAATTTTAAGTTCCCTTTCTCATCAGATTAAACTATTAAAGATCATCCTTCTAGAGGGTTGACCTGACTATTCTGCCGTGCTAAAGAAGAACGCCGAATGAGCCTCAGACGTTGCCAAGTTTCCTCTGATAAAAACCGAATTTACTGGGAAAATTGTGGATATTTTTTTCTAAAAATTTCAGACGATTTTGTACGCAATTAATCTAAAATATCTGAAAATTTCGAAGAAAAATATGCATGAATGTTGTCAGGAATGCATGTTTTATTAAAGGAAATTTGGCAACTCTCGAATGTTCATACAGCGTTTTTCCTTGGCACGGCAGTATGGACCTTGTGCTTTCTCAAATATTAGAATGCTTAGTGTTGTACCTCACAAAAAAGAAATGGATGCGAGTTCAATTCAATAACATCCAATACATAGAAGGATGTGCTTGCTTTTTCAAAGATTAGTAGGCTTAATACTGTACCTCACAAGAAAGAAATGGATGCGAGTTCCATTCAATGACATCCAATACGTAGAAGGATGTGCTGTCGAAGTTGTAGATGCAGTCCAGAATGGTTTGTCCATTTTTATGTCCTCCTGGGCTTAAGTAAGTCTCGGCCCAAGAACCACTCGGCAGCCAAGAGGGAAAGCTCATAAATTGCCGACCCGCTTTATCATATGCTTGAGTTCCATTCTGAAAAAGAATTAGAAGGCTATAGTAGTCATGTAACAATTCAGAAAACTGGATGCGGGTGTGCTGGCGAACAATACTGCGACTACGCAGTTGGCACAGAATCTATGAAGATTTTAAAATTGGGCAAACAGAACTATCTGCAATGGGTCTATTAAAACAGATCCTGTCTACTTTAAGAATCAGTTTGACTCACAATCAGATGAAATCATAAAGAGGCTTGGTTTGGGGTAATTCTGCACTGAAGCCCTGCTACAAACAATGGGCAGATGTAGCATTTCTCTTTTGACATGTTTGCTGATGAATCTGCTCTGATAAACAATGTAAAAGCAGGAATTGGATTCAGCAGAATAAACATGTCAACAGAGGAGTTAGAAACACTTGGTGGACAAAGGAGTTTCATAGAGTCTCGAGTGATTTCACGGCAGTGACATCGCTTGGGTGCGGTATTTGGGGGGATTGACAGGGCAAAGTGCCTAGGAGGTGTGGAAAAAGACCACCTTCAATGCAGAGGGGGGTCCTGGGGGCCTTCCCGGAAATTTTATCATGTCTGTGACGCATTTTGAGGCTGTTCTAATGCAGTAGTGTATCTTATTTTTCTGAGAAAAATCTTCAATTTTTTAGTATCTCCTCACTCCTTTGTCTCAACATAATGTACCTACACTAATAGCTTTTCGTTCCCGAACATTGGATTTCATTATGGGGGAGCTAGGAAGTCATTTGAGGGGGGGCGGGGGGCTGAAGTCCCTTCAAGCAACTCCGCTGTTTTGGTGAATGTTCTTTGCTATCATTATCGCTCTTTCATTCCTAATTTTTTAACAAACCTCATCTGACATATGTTACCAGTTCTATACTATTCTATAAACAAATAGACTTTTTCCAAAACTCCTCAGCAGTTCCATATAGCTCAACAACGATGAATTTGATATGGGCTCTTTTTCAAAGTTTTCTTCAATTTTTTATGTATGGTTTAATTTAAAAAATCTTTGAAAACATGCAGTAATACCTCTTCAACTTCAGGAAATGTATTATAATTTTCAAGAGAGGTAAAACAAAGGGATAAAAAGAACATGAGGCTAGGAATGATTGCTTACTCCTTTCGCAATTAAGATACAACGTTTTCCTTGAGGGCAAACGACAGCAGTCCATCGTGTATCCAAATCGTCCGGCACATCAACTAGCCATTCTGATTCCATTAGAATATTTTTGAGGCATTCTGAGTCTTGTGTTTTACTTTTAAATGGAATTTTCTGGAACAATGATTGAATGCTGGTTATAATAAATCTACTACGGTAATATCAAAACAACTGGAATAATACATATTCATATTCAGCGGCACAGAAACTTCTCAATGGTGCAGATTTCAGAAGACTTTGCACAAACATAAGTACTCCAGAAAAAGACAGCAATAAGGCATCAAGTTCACTCATACTCAAAGATCATGTGTTTGAAGCAAAATCATGAATAATTTCAAGTGCAAAGAGAGGTAAATTTAAAGACTGAGAGGTATTTGAGAGCAGATCTCTTCTGGTTCCCTGAGATCCGCTACAGAGAGGGAGAGAGAGAGAGAGAGAGTTCTGTACTTCAGAAATTTTGGAGATCACTGAAGAAATATGACCATTCTGCAGCCAGATTGTTGATATTTTGTGTTTGTCGGGTAGACATAGCGGAGTGTGATTGGTCGGCTATGTCTTATCACTGCTTTATCGAGCCTTTGTCAGAAGGAATGGACGACATACTGTCGGAACCTTAAGAGGTGCCTTTAGCTTGTCGTGAGTTCCATCCAACATGGGAACGATAAAGCAGCGATAAGACATAGCCGACCAATCTTGCTCCACCTTTTAACCTATGTCATCTTTGACTACTCGAGAAACATAGAATTTCAAAAATCAGGCTGCTGGGCAAGGTTCAAAGGATCAGAATACCTATTTGTTGTTTGGTAAGGTTGACTCTGAATAGAGGAGCAATTTTGATAATTCTCTGAAAAAAAAGGAAAAATTGAGATCACACTAAATTTGTGGTTTTTCAAGGTACTCTAAGTATTAGGATTAAATATTGTAGTGTGATGATAACTGTAGGAGCATCTGTTAGATACAATTTGATTCGGCCAAAAAAAAAAAAAACAAACAAACAAACGAACAAAAACAACGATATTAAGTAATCAATTCCTCTTTTCCTCTGTCTATAAAACAATCATTCTGATAGGAAATTCGCCCAACTAACTACAGAGAAATTTTAATTCAATATCTTGGTAAAAAGTAATGGAGGATAAGTAGTACATCACTTACTTTCTTTCCGCTAGGTAGCCATTCCATGCTTTGACATTTTTCTTTCGGGAGATTATTTTTGGTGGTGTTGTGCTGAGAATCTGTTTCCAAAATATTCCTGAAAGTGTTATGCTCCGAAGTCCGTTTTCTTGGAGATGAACAAAAGAATTGTCATACAATACATTTAGCACACATTAGTAACACATTCGCATGCGGTTGGGTCATGTCAAGAGTTCTACTTAGTGCCTTCAAGGAAATTAACTTTCAAACCTGTAGCCAGGCCTGTTAGCTCCTGAACTAAGAGAACATTTCAGAAACATTCATTGATTTA